GAGGTGGTGAGCAGGATGTGAGGGGTCGGAGATGATTTTCTTTGCTCGCTTTACAGTCCGACGTGTATAGAGGGAATTGTGTTACCTTCGAACATTGCTTCTGAGAAATTTTATGTTTTTTTGTCCCCCTACCCAACTGTTCGATGAAATTTACGCCCAGGGTTGTAGGCTACATTTCAGATACATTTGGCCTAATGCATGTTGTGAAGATTAGTATACCAAGATTTCTCTGTTTGCACTACCTGATCACAGTTTGTGTGACTGTGTATCTTAACCAAACACTGTAGTGTGTTCTTAAACAAACAGTGCTTTGCCCACTGCCTGGTTTAAGCCATCACACAGAAGAAGAGGGCAAACATTTGTTTGTTTGTTGTGAAGGCTCATGATATTTAGTGCCAGGAAAATAATGACAATGCCACATGTGTGTAACTTTTTTACTGCTTTAACTAAGTCTCTAAATGTTTAATTCCCTCTGGCTAAACCTTGAACAGAACTAATTGATTAGGCTACAGGACAGTAATTAGTACTTATTATATATTCTTAATGAGTTATATGCTATTTATTTTGAATGTTTTAATTTGGACTGTAATGTATTTGTTTAAGTAAAAGTAATAATGAATCAGCTGAATATATTTTAAAAATGCAAATACTGTTTACTCACAGTTTTTGGAAAGACTTTCATATATTGTGTTTCATATGACAGGATTTTAGGTGGAAATACCAGTAAAAGGACTTTGATTAAACAGAAGAACGTCAGCAGGTTAGAGGTTGTCAAATAGGATGAGATCCCAACGCTCTTGTTATCGAGTCTCAAGGGAGAAGTTTGAACAACAAATCGGTGATCAGACTGTAAGATACTTTACACCTGAGCTTAATAACTATGAGCTGTAACATGATTAATTATGGAAATATGATGTTTATGATGAATATATGTTGTAATTGATTAATGTGACAATGTTTACAATGATTATAACATGTGAAGGAATTAAATACTCACTTGACAGTAGTTAAAAGTCAGGAGGATGAGAGTAAAAGTGAATCATGTTGAAAGTATTGTGAAATGAGAATTAAAACACGATATCCGTCCACACCAGCGTTTTTGAGTTGATCTCCGTTCACGTACACTGAGCATTCTTCGTTTTCGCCGTTTTAGTCTGGATGGGAGTTGCAAACGTAGCAAAAGGTCTCCGCAGTAGTGTGGATGGGGCCTGTATCAGCCGAACAACAGTTTTAAGAATCATCTCAAACAATGGCTCCAGACACATCAAATGTGTGACCACTAACTGACTCTGTAGTATATATGTGTATGGGTTTGTATACTGTACTAGATGCAGCACTTTACAGCATAAACAGCACTTTAAATTACATAACCCTGTCTACAAAACTGTGCTGTCTATTATAATATAATGTTGAAAAGTATGGCATCTTTTAAATTGTGTTGTCTTATATATCTAATGTTTAACTGCGTTACTTTGTACTTTGTGACGACGTGCCGGAAACCACAGATGGAAAAAAGCCTTCAGTCTAATTCTGGCATGTTTACGTTGCTGAAAAGCTAATATGTTGATTAATATGCACTGTCCCTTTTAAATAAATAAAATTAAATAAATAGCAAAGCAAGCAAAAATATTATGAATTCTCATCAGAGCAGGTGTCCTAAGGGACCTTTGGGGTGGCATAGGGCCCCGTGGCCAGCAGAGGGTCCTCTACAGTCACTACTTGCTTGTGGTGGAAAAAAATCACTGAAAAAAGAAACGTAAAATAATAAAAACAAAACGAAAGACAGCTCTCTATGTTACGCACCATAATAATCATAGTGGTTATTTAATTTAGTTATTTAGTATGGTAAATCAGCTGCCCTCAGTGGTCAGCGACTCCTGACCCTGACTGACCCTGTGACGTCGTTCAGGCATGTCACCCAAGTAGCTGACTGCTGGTAGGTTATGTGTTTTAGTTAAACCTATAGAGAGGCCCTGTCCTTTGATTATAAATCAGATCTGTCAGGTAGGGAGTGTGTAGTCGCTGTTTTAAAGGACTGATTATTGAGCAACATCATGAAGCCTCCTCCAAAGCTGCCAGTGTTGAAAAGACATCTTATCTAAAGTGACTTTTTAAAAGGAGACAGCATCAAACTCTGGCAGATTGTCTTGCATAATAAGATCCAGATCTAAGCTAAGAGCACAAGTCATTTCAGTTCAGTCAATGTATTTATTTATTTTTATTATTTCACAGCAGGTCCATCAGCCTCCACCTCTTTTTATTCACCTCTAGGAACACCCACCACATGAACATGTCAGCCAATTAAAATTATTTATTTTCTGTGTTAATCTTACTCATAGGTCTACCTGTGCCTACTGATGTGGAGACCAGTACCATCGTGCTTACCACCGCACCTGGCTCTCTCTTCTACTCCTCCAGCTGACCGGCCATCAGTCCTTAATGACCAGTTACATGTTGATGTGGTGAGCAGTAAAACCAGCACAGGCTGGCAGAGACATTTTGACTTTTCCAAAAAGACACTCAGACAGTAAAAGTCTTTTCTATCATTACATGTTACCTGTTTTGTAGTTTTTGTCTCTTAAACTGTTGTTTGGCTGTTAATAAAGATGTAAGCTTTGGTCATAATCAGTACATCAGTCTTTTTATTCAACTAAGTTCATCACTGTCTACTGGGTCTTGCACTGCCATTAAGCTCAGTTGCACTGGTGGTATCATATGTTTCCTGTTTGACTTCAAACATAGTAGATATAATTAGGGGAGAGCCTTTTTAAAATATAACTTTACAGACATAAATCATTTGTTGTTGTCATCAACAACTCACATGTGTGTTCTATCAATACCAGGTGTTTTCTTGTTAAAATGTGGAACGACTTCAGTATAATTTCACTTTGAAGGAAAGATGCGCATTGTTTCATTCATCCCTACTGTGCGGGACGGAAGAAACACAACGACATACATTTAAATAGTTTAAGTTATTCTTGTTTTTATTTAGAAAGCTTGACACTGCCCTTCTTAATACGTAATTGCAAACTCATTATGTCCTTTTCTTAATAAAAAATAGTATAAATACAACTACAGCTAATGCAAATTTGGATCAGATATCAGCTGCCCTTTTTATGTACATCTGCAGCGATGTCTATGAAGATTCTCAGTCATCCAGGTCATAGTTATCCAACGAGGGTTAAAATGAAGGGCAACTGGACTTGGTTGAAGCTACTGGAAAAGTAGCTTCAACCAAGTCCACATCTGCAGCCTGTTTTCCTGGTCTACTGTGAAGATGCTGTTATTTGGCTGTGAGCATCCTGGTGGTCCAGCCCCATCAGTGCCCTGAACATGTTGTGCTCCCTGCGGTTTGGAATCTTACTTAAAATGGCCGAATACCATGTGCGGTCCACTTAGCAGGGAACTACTGGTGGTGCGGTCCACTTAGCAGGGAACTACTGGTGGTGCGGTCCGATCGCCTAGTAGTTCCCTGCTAAGTTTGCCGGAAGTTAACAAGCAATATGTACATTTACATTTACTCATTTGGCAGACGCTTTTATCCAAAGCGACTATATTACCCATCAGCCTTTGCACCTCGAAACTCTGGCAGGAAAAAAATAACCCCGCAAAAACTAACAATGGAGCAGACAGAAGAGTTTGTATATATCTGTGATTACTGTCGTTGTAACTAACGTAATAATTATTTAGACTATTTCAGAGGTTAGTTACCTAAAAACAACAATGCTCATGTTAATCTTTTAATCTTTTACATTCCCTGAGCAGAGCGCAGAGAGCAGAGCAGGGCCGGCCCGTAGTAACCAAGTGCACCAACCTCGGGCTGTGAGCGGCCGTGAGTCGCAGGCAGACTGTGACAGAGTTGTAACGTAGCTGCTAGTTTTGCACTATAAAACTTGCTCTGTTTGGGACTTTGATCTGCACTTAGTCTGAGCTGCCGAAGTTAACATTTGTGTGGATTTGTGTTGAGATGTCTGCCTGATCACAAGTGTTTTCAGTTAAGTTAGTCAAATATTTTTTTTCCTGTAGTTTTTTCACCTGCTTGTCTCGTCCAGTTCAGTTTCTGTAATGGTCTGACTGTATCAGCCGAGCAATAACGCAGACTAATGCGCACAGAGTAGCAATAGGCTATAGGAAAGGCAAAAATATTATGAATTGTAATTAAATTATGTCTCCTAATATTAGGCCTGCGACTTTTACAAACACAGATGTGGGGGAGATTATGAATGTTTTAATCAAGAGCAGAAAAGCTGCTGAAACACAGAAGCTATAAAGGAGTTTATAACAAAAAGTATAATAATTATTATTAAAATTAATTAAGTTCTGATTGAGGTGAAAAGGTGCCAGGTCTGCACATTTAAAGAGGTTACTTCCCCAATCAAAGACACAAAAGAGGAGGGAAGACTAAATAATGTGTGCTGACTCAGCAGGGACTTCATTGAATGAGAAAAACTGATGAATACAGAAGAAAACATAAAGGCAATAATTAGAGAATGCCTGCGAGCCGCACTGCATTATATTCTATTCATTTTTTATACTTTGAATTTTCACCTGTGGCATTAATTTTGTGTTTCCCCTTTTGTAAATATAGAAATTTTCAGCATAATGCAGGAAATTAAGTGTTTAATGCTCAAAATAGTGTTTTAAATAAAACCTATGCTTTTGCATTTCTGCAAAACATTTACCCCACAAATGAACTAGAATAAAGGAAAACAATCTCTGTTCGATACAGAGTTTCTGAGGGGAACGTTCCCAAATACCTGGTTAGGTTTGGTCTCCCAATATGATGTCTGGAGGATGCTGATCACACTTATTGATTATTGACTGGCTGCAGAAATTTATACACACTGCAGTGGGTAATGTGTGTGGGGGGGGGGTCTCCAACACTGTCAGGACGGCCCTGGAGGGAGCAGCTGTTTCAGACTGTATATGTACTAGCCTATATGTATATCCTGTGGGTTTGAACGCAGCGATAGGCTACAGCTTTAACAAACTGCGCGCGCTCCCGTGGACGACAATCACTTTTCGGCACGACACCTGATCGTTGCACACCGTTTCAAGGAAACATGCTGTTCGATCAGACAACGAAGCAAACCGGTGCAAAACGTTTCGAGACTGAACTCGCCTCAGGCTTCTGGAGGAAGCCACGCAGCTGTTAAATCTCCGTTAGTGGCGGCACAGTGAAGACAAAGTGATGTTTAATCTTCAGATGACTCCCGCAGCTATGATGAAGCGTCTTCCTCTGCTGTGTCTCTGTCTCCTGACTCGGTCTGGAGCAACGTTTGCTGATGAACACGGTAAGAAAATTAACCCCGTTTTACACAGGACAAAAAAAAACACCGACACCTTCTGTATTTTGTCTTTAATGTAAAAGGGTAACCAGGCGAAATGACCGCAGTAGTTCTGCGTATTTATCGGCTCCAGCTCTCTGTGTGGTCGCTATAATTTTCTGCTTTTGCGTCGGTAAAGATGGAGGTCTGTGACGTTGTTACGGTGGATGCGGTGTGTCCCTCAGTCAGAACATAAACAAGGTGTTAACAGCACCGTGATGGACAGCTGTGTCTTATTTGCTCTGACGGACGTTACAGCACGGATTTAAAGTCAGTCAGCCTAAATCACTAATATTAACATAAACAAACAGCCAAAACATTATGACCACTGACAGGTGAAGTGAATAACAATGATTATCTCGTTACCATGGCACCTGGGATATATCAGGCAGCAGGTGAACATTGTGTCCTCAGAGTTGATGTGTGATGCAGGAAAAACGGACACAACTGTGATGGCTAGAGGACTGGGTCAGAACATCTCTAAAACCGTCTGCAGGGGTCAGTACCTATTGGTCCAAGGTCATGGAGATCCAAGGCTCAGTGATGCACGTGGGGAGTGAAGGGAAGGGCCCATACTGACTCCTGTCCACTGCTGAAAGCACCTACAATGGGCAGGTCAGCATCAGAACTGGACTGCGGATCAATGGCCTGGTCTGAAGAATCATGTTTTTTTTAATATAAAAAGGATGGCCGGGTGCTTGTGTTTCTCTTACCTGGGGAACACAAGGCACCAGGATGCATTATGGGAAGAAGGCAAGCAGAGGTAGTGTGATGCTTTGGAAACCTTGGGTCCTGCCATTCTGGTTACACTCACACGTACCACCCACCTAAGCATTGTTCAGACCATGTTCACCCTTTAATGGAAACGGTATTCCCTGATGGCCTCTTTTAGCAGGACAGTGTGTCAGCATATTCATATAATTACGTTCGTATATTCATATAATGTTTTTATTATATTGAAATATAACAAGTATTGCAGAGGTCCTGTAGTGAAGAAAAGCCCAGGGGAGCATGCTAAGTTTGGCGAAATGACGATGCCCTGTGCAGAAGCAATCATGTAACTACTTGTATGAGCGACTCAAAAACAACTGAAGAAGCTCATAATAAGGGACTGAAAGAGAGAATGTCAATACTAGATCAAAACTATTGAAGGGTGGAAAACTGCTCAAGTTGTGCAGTAAGTTATGAACGGTTTTCTAAGGAGAAACAGAGAAAAGTGAGGGGGCCGGGAAAAACACACAAATAAAGTTGGTAAGAACACTGTTGTAAGAGCAAAAAGACAGCAGAGAGGTGAGAAGGGTATAAACCAGGCCAAAGCCACCTCATCTTTAGTTCTGCATTTTTCTCTCATTGTCATGTCTTGCAAAAGAATAAATTACTTAGCGTAACCAAACTCTCTTTTTGGTGCTGCATTAAATACTAGTTTTTTTCCCTTTGAGCTTCATTTATGAATTTATTCCGAACAGCAATTTTTATCGCCACTAAATGATGAGAAATAATTTCTGTTGAAAAAGAAGGTTGTTTGACTTTTTGCTGTCTGGACACAAGAATCTTTCTTGCTCTATTTTTAGTAGAAGCTGGATGCATGCATCCAAAATGAGTTTATGTGCATTTAGTTTTCCCTGTGGTAAATTTTGACTGAATAAAAGGGTGTGTGGCTCCTTATTGTTTTTATTAGAATTTTCTCTTTAGACACAGTCTGTGATTTTGTTTAGAGAACACTGCACTTTGCAGTTTTGGTGTTTGTCACCTAGATTCTCAAAACCAGGATTTTGTTTCTGACAGAGCTTCAAAGCAATGGAGACTAAAATGAATAATAATAATGAAAACTATGATCTGAATATGTTTTAAATTTCTGTAGTGTATTTATTATAAAATGTGATAATTAGCAAAATCCAAACACACAATAACAAAACCTGTGTGGTCTGCAGATACTTGGCTCACACTGAACCCTCAGCCTAAAACCAACAACTCTCCTTGAGGTGTCTGTGTCATGTGACTCATCAGGTTTCTTATGTCAGCTTAAATATTCTTAAATGATGCCAACATGAAAAATATAAATAATGTGCCGACTAACGTGTTTATAAACTGGTGTTTCAGAGTCATTGAGGTGACATGTAAATGTGTTATCTGATGTTCTGTCTGAACCTGATTGATCTCTATTTGAACAGAATGACTAAAATAATCTTCTTCTTTCAGGGTCGGGTGTCGTCAGAGTGGTTGTGGAAGAAGGGAGTGACGCCATTTTACCCTGTTCCCTCAGCAACAAGGAGAACGCAGAGGAGAAACTCTTTGATTGGAAGAAAGATGGTCAGAAGGAGGTTTTCTTTTATGATGGAGGCATTCATTACAACAACGGTCGTCCAGGCCAAGATCGGCAGTTCAAAGGTCGCATCTCACATTTTCAAGATGAGCTGAAGTACGGCAACGCCTCCATCATTATCAGTAAAACGAAGATGACTGACAGTGGAAACTACACCTGTGATTTTCCACGTCTTCAGCCAAGACGGATATTCAACATTCAGTTTGTTGTTGGTGAGTGTTTCCATTTAACAGTTAATCTATAAATATTGTTCATCAAGATCTCCAGCTGTCCTTTTAGGTTTGGTTTGACTCCAGCTGTTCTTCCTCGTCTGTTCAGTCTTCTGTTTAAACCACTGACAACGAGGAACACCTTGAAAGTTCAACTTTAATTACATATCAGCAATTTAATATGTGAGAATCACATACAGTAGTTAAACTGGCAATCATGAATTATTATATTATTATATACAATGTAAATCTCCAATGTCTGAACTTAACCAAGATGTTGATAAAAGATGTGAACACCTGCTGTATTAATTACAATTGCTGCAAAGTTTCCGGTTTCTTTCTAACTTCAAGATTTGTTTGAAAGCAGCACCACATGTATCTCAGACAGGTAAATTTACTGACAAGATATAATCATAAGACACTAACTCTTTGAAGTTATAATGTTACAGGTTAAATGTTAAAACTCAGTTTTTATTTAACTCTGTGTGGTAATGTTTGAAGCCTTAGTAAGATTGTAAGACCGACCACTCCATCCTTCTCACACGGCTTCAGTACTCCCTCTGCCTAACCGGGCCTGCCCTCTCCTGGCTCAACTCCTTCCTTTCTGGCAGACACCAATACATCTCCATAAACAACTGCAAGTCCTTCACCACCACAGTCTCCCATGGTGTCCCTCAGGGCTAAGTGCTGGGTCCCTTCCTCTTCATCAACTACATCCTTCCATTTGGACAGATCATCCGCCGTCGTGGCCTCCATTTTCACTGCTATGCAGATGACACTCAACTTTACCTTTCTTCCAAATCTATCACCCAAGCCACCCATACCACACTCACCACCTCTCGTCCAAGTCTTAGATGCAACAGAACTTTCTCAAACTCAACTGCAATAAATCTGAAATCCTCATCGGCCCTAACACCCTCACCCACTCCACCCAGACATTCTCACTTAGCATTGACAAGTCTTTTGTCACCTCCTCCAACCAGGTCCACAACTTTGGAATCATCTTTGACCCACCCTCTCCTTCTTGCCCCACATCAACCAGGTAACTAAAACTGTCTTCTTCCACCTCAAGATCATCGCCCGCCTTGTCCTTTTCTACTGCTGTAAATACTCATTCGTGCCCTCATCACTTCTGAACTCGACTACTGCAACGGTTCCCCTAACAAAATCCTCAATAAACTTCAATACGTCCTCCGCTGCCCGCATGCTTACATCCTGCCGTCGCAGAGATCACATCAACCCTGTCCTTCACAAACTCCACTGGCTCCCTGTTAAATACAGTATCCACTTCAAACTTCTACTCATCACCTACAAAGCCTTAAACAATCTGGCCCCTTCCTACCTCTCCGACCTCCTCCCCCGCCACACCTCCACTCGTCGCGTCAGGTCTGTGGAAGCAACAACACTAAATACCATCAGGACAAAGCGCCGGACCTAGGGGAACAGGGCCTTTTTCAATGCTGCACCCTCTCTCTGGAACGCCCTCCCTCACCATATCCAACAGGCCAACACCATGCCATCTTTCAAACAGGCCCTCAAAACCCACCTTTTCAAGAGTGCATTCCCCAGTATACTTCCTTCCACTCTCTCCCCTGCTCTTCTTTTTAACCAATTACTTTCATCTTACCTTCTGTAAAGCGTCTTAGAGTACTTAGAAAAGAGCAATATAAATATAATTTATTATTATTATTATTTCTTCTACCTTTTACCAAGTTTATAATGTTCTGTTATTGGTGACTTTGTATGAAATGTGTATATTAAATTACATGTTTATTACTGAGCTCATAGTTAAAGGTGCTGTTTTACTGGACTAATTATACTGGTGGTTACATTTTTTAGTCCTCCCTATTTATCTCAAACATGAGTGGTCAGAATAATAGAAACACCTCTGAGTATAATGAAGTCCAGAACAACACCATCACTAATCAAAATTAAAGTAAAATTAAAGGCAGTTGTTTTGGATTGCATCAGATTGTACAGGTATACCTAATAAAGTGGCCAGTGAGACACAGTTAAGCCCTGATAAAACAAGGGGCTCACATGCTTTAAAGACCCTGTTTTATATTTTATAGCACATGTTTATTTTACTTGAGTGTAACAGAAAATATTGTTGACATATCAGACAACAGATTTCATGTGATGTCATTTCAAGATCATTTTTTCAGCACAACAAATGTAGCATAAAAATTATTTTTGTCCAAATGTCTTCACTGCATCTGTGTGTTTTTAAAAAATCATGTGTCTCGTCTAAAATGTGCAGCAGTTGCAGCTCAAAAGCCGTCTGTCACTGCAATCGATCAAACAGAGGATGGGGTGCTGCTGCAGTGTGAAGTTCGAGGTGCTTCTCCTAAACCTACAGTAGAGTGGCAGGACAGTGCTGGAAACATCCTTCCTGCTGAGGAGCCACAGGTCTCAGAAAGAGGAGGCAGCTATGACATCATCCTCCAAACTACTGTGAACACGACTGACCGCTTCACCTGTGTAGTCACACAGGACGAAATCAGCCATCAGATTTTTGCTGAGATCTATGTGCAGGTCGATGGTGAGATTTTTCATAGTTTCAATTATTTTAATTGTTATTGTGTTATTCGTTTTAAGCGTCTTCAGACTGAACACAAAGCAGGTTGTGATGAAGACGTCTGCACAAGTGTAAAACGTTTCAAACTGAGTGAAAGCTTCACACTTATACTGAGACTCTGAGACTTCATGAATCTACAGAGATGAGAGGAAGAATGAGAGGGTCTGCAGGGAAATAACAGAAAGAAACTCTGAGATCAGTCTGATCAAACACAGGAACACAAGAATTTAGTAAACTTCACTCACAAACCCAGTAACAGATTTATAAATGGCTGCTGCAGCCTGATCCTGGGGATCAACATGAAAACACCTCACGAGGGAGATTTAGAGACTGAAGTCTTTAGAATCAGAGACTTTTTGAGACACATGTAGCACCAAAATACACGAGGCTCTCTGAAGGTTTTATTAGCTGTGATTAGATAAATGGAGAAGATAGAGAAACTTTATTGAGTCACACAAATGAATCACATAACAAACAACATGAGGACACTACTAGATGTAGAGAAGATTTTAGTCATTGATTTTATTTTAACTAGAAACTGAACTGAAACTAAAAAACAGGACCAGACTTTAACTCTGGTTTCTGGTAATATTTCGTCATTCAATTCAATTCAATTTTATTTATATAGCGCCAAATCACAACAACAGTTATCTCACAGCGCTTTTCATAAAAGAGCAGGTCTAGACCGTACTCTGTGATGATATTTACAGAAGCCCAACAGTTCCCACCAAGAGCAGCACTAGGCGACAGAGGCAAGGAAAAACTTCCTTTTAAGAGGCAGAAACCTCGAGCAGAACCATGGCTCAGGGTGGGCGGCCATCTGCCTCGACCGGTTGGGGTGAGAGAGAGAGAGAGAGAAAGAGAGAGAGAAGAGAGTGAAAGAGAGAGAGAGAGAGAAAGAGAGAGAGAGAGAGAGAGAGAGAGAGAGGGATGTAAGGAGAGAGAGAGGGGAGGGAGGCAGCCTACACAATATACACACAGAGGTACAGACAGCGAAGGTAATGTTGCTATAAACTAAATGAAAAATGGTACAGATATTTATAATAGTGTTAATGGTAACCATCGTAATGTTAATGATTATAATAACAATAAGACTAGCAACAATAGTCGTTGCAGCAGAGGGCGTCGAGCAGGAACACGGGGGCAGCAGGCGACCCGCAGCCACAGATCCAGACTCCACAGCTCCAGAGCCAGAAAACCTGCAGGAAGTGACAGGAGGAGAGAGGAGAGGGACGAGAAAGCACAAGACTACCAGAAAGGGGAGAAGTTGTGTTAGTAACATGCAATAATGGGATAAGGTTGCATACAGAGGAGAGAAAGTAGAGGAGAGAGGAGCTCAGTGCATCATGGGAAATCCCCCGGCAGTCTAGGCCTATAGCAGCATAACTAAGGGATGGTTCAGGACTCACCTGAGCCAGCCCTAACTATAAGCTTTATCAAAGAGGAAAGTCTTAAGCCTACTCTTAAATGTGGAGATGGTGTCTGCCTCCTGAACCCAAACTGGAACCTGGTTCCACAGGAGAGGAGCTTGATAGCTGAACGCTCTGGCTCCTAGTCTACTTTTGGAGACTCTAGGAACCACAAGTAACCCTGCATTCTGGGAGCGCAGTGCTCTGGTGGGGTAGTAAGGTACTATGAGCTCTTTAAGATAAGATGGTGCCTGACCATTAAGAGCTTTGTAGGTAAGAAGAATGATTTTAAATTCTATTCTGGATTTTACTGGAAGCCAATGCAAAGAAGCTAAAACAGGATCATCATGGAGACACATACAGGCTGAAGAAGTGCATTTTTACTTAACATTGTAAACTTGTATTTAATATTGGGGACAAATAGATATGATCATTTTCAGTTCTTATTAAATTGTAGCTCCAAGTTCTTTTCTTTTTTACAATTTTTGTTGTTCTGTTAAAGCAGAAGAAGCTAATGAGAGATCTTCTGACCTGTTTTTTCACAGCAACATAAGTTGTTCTGCTCTTAAAAAAATAAAATATACAGTAGATTCCATTGTGATCTTATGGTAAGTTACATTACCCGACACCAGTACTCGCAGCCTACAAGTTGCATCCACACAAACAAGGAGTACTGGACAAAATTACAATAGCTGTGATTTCTCTATCAGGCCACTGCGAGCTAGGTCTGTGTTTGGGCAACCGGGCTAATGCCCCGAGACTTAAAGCCCCAAGGTTGCGTTTCTACTATCAGCATCTAATGAAGCAGTGTAGGCCGCAACTTCCTCCGTTAGCCATGGCCCTGCCATCCTGTGTGCCCTGGAGCTTAACGAGTCAGCAGGTACGTTTTTAATATTCAAGTAAAATAATCTAAGATTCTTAAATTCCACGTTATGTTCGATGCACCAAGATATTCTTCATTCTACACTTTTCTGAACACAGAGGTGTGACCCTACCTGGTGAAGACGGGGTGAGATCAGCGGAAAAAGGACTTCAGCTCACGCTCCAACGTCCTCAGAGGGCAGCAAGTTGAGAGCCAAGAACTCGATCAGTTAGTCAGTGGGCGGGTTTGTGATGGGCGGAAGTAATAAAAATGACTTGCGGTAAACGATAAATGTCAGTTGGGTGTTGTGACTGATGAATGGTAAATCAAGTTGACAATTTATCTCTCTGGTTTTCAATACACAAGCATCTTCATTTAAATCTCTTCTCTCTATATTAGTTAAAAAAACAGCCGACACAAAGAGCAACTACAGGTGCTGGTCATATAATTAGAATATCATCAAAAAGTTGATTTCAGTAATATTCAAATTTTCGTAGATACTTAATTTGGGATTTTCATCAATTGTCAGCTTTAATAATCACAATTAAATGAAATAAACATTTGAAATATATCATTCTGTGTGGAATGAATGTATACATTACACAAGTTTGACTTTTTGAATGGAATTACCGAAATAAATCAACTTTTTGATGATATTCAAATTATATGACCAGCACCTGTAGATGTTCTTTGTGTCGGCTGTGATGTTTACGAGCTGCAGCTACTTTCTGAGTGTTACATTCACTTTTTCTGATCTGTTTCAGGGTCCCCCGCTGGATGGTTTGTTGCTGTGTTAGTTATTTTTCTTGCTGTTCTTATTCTTCTTGCTGTACTTATAGCAAAGGGTGTCATCCCACTTAACTGTCAGAAAGGTAAGTTTAAATCATGTATTTTATCAACATATTCATGATGAGCTCACAACAAATTCTTTACATGTGTCTCATGTTTAGAGTCTTGACAGTTGTTTTATCTTCTTCTGATGGTATTTACACCAGGGTAGGATTAAGGCAGGAGGGATTTTCTTTAATATAAGTTATTTTTTTCCTTGCAGCAGACATAAGGAAGACAACCGGCACAGGATACACCAACCGTTCACTGGCAGAACCTTTGTCAAAACCAGCTAAAGACCAGATTGTATGATAGTGTGGACATTTTGGCTGGTCCTCACTTATTTCAGGCTTTTTTAGGGTTAAGTCCTGGTTTTAAGGTTTAGTTTTAGTTTCAGGTTAGGGGTAGTGTTGTGGTTAGACAGATTGTTGGGATGGTAGCAAGATGAAAGTGAGGTTATTGGGGTTTTGAATGTGCATGTTCTACTTTGGAAGCATTACAAGTCCCATTATCACGACCAGTCTTTCCCTGACCTTAGTGAAGTGTTTATAGACTGTCCCTGTTAAACTCATGGACAGTAAGATAACAGCATGCCAAAATATATATTTATTATCTTTATCTCACAGCAATCAATATGTTTGTCTCCATGAACCAACTCCTAATTTTCACATAACAGTAGTGGATGGAAACCTGTAACTTTGCATTTTCTTTTGCTGATTTTCTGGATATTCACTTAAAATTTGCGCCACTTTTGGTTGGAAACTCTGTGTACTTTGCCTTCAGACGTGGTCGGACGACACGACGTACAAACTAGTGAACTTGCCTTTAAAATTCACCCAAACCTGTAGTTTCCCTGAACAGATGTTGTTGGAATAAGTCATAAGTTATTAATTTTTCAAACAATATTATTTAACGTTCAAAACTTCATCATTGAATTTAATATATAACAGTCTGACATGTAAATGTTCTGTCACAGGAGGAGTCTCGCAGGTTGGAGATAACGAGGTGAAACAGAAGAGAGAAAGTGGAGATTATGTGATTATTAATCAGTCATTCCATTAATTAAATCCTGATATGTGGCATGACTCCACTTCCACTCTTAGTATTGACTTAATTAATTACTACATCTTTCACTCTGTTCTGTTGCTTTTAATATTTATTAAAAATAATTAGATTATTTTATGCATCTAATTTTTACTCTTCTACTGTCGTCAACGTAGGTAAAAAAACTTTAAAAAATTGCATTATGAGTTAAATCAGCAGAATGTTTGATGACCTGGAGACAGAGAGTGACTTCTGTCTGAGGCCTGAATAAAGAGATGAATGTGGAGCAACAGTGCTGTATAAATACTGCCCATCTACCAAATATTATCAGAACGCTTCTTAAAGTTCTTAAAGGTCCTAACTGAGCGAGACATTAACAGAAACATAAGGATTGGTGTTTTTACCTTTTTATGATCTTACCTTTTTAGCACTTTTAAACTTTACACGTTCAAATGTAAAGTGCATTACAAATGTAGTATTATTATTATAAGGTCATTGGACTAAATGTTAAGCTGTAAATATTTTGTAGCTACATTGAAATATATAATTTGACTTTTTTTTATTTTAATGTTTGTGTTATTAACATTATTTACACATTGTGTAGCTGTTCCAGTTTATTATGAATACAGTCTAAAACAACAGTCCTGCACCAAATCCTCCTTCATGAAGGTTATAATGTTCAGAGAGTGTATACTGACAGGTGTTTCTGTTATTCTGTCCACCCCATGTATATCAGTGAGTGCAGGCTAAATAACAGAAACACGTCTCTGAAACAGTTTGAACTCAAACTGAACATTTAAACCTTGATGAAGGAGATTTATTGCAGGACTGTCAGACTGCATTAGTTTCAGGTGTTCCTAATAAACTGGACACTGAGTGTTTGCTGCTGCTGACTGTGATATTTGAGTTCTCTGAAAGTTCATGTATATTGATGTTTCTAACTGATGATGAACTTGTATCGTGTCATTTCCTGCAGAGCTGAATCATTTCTGTCCAAACGTTTGAATAAAACATGAAAAATGTCAAACTGTATGTTGTGGCTGTTTTTGATGTTTCTGTCTGTTCAAACTCTGAGAAAAGAAACTAAAGAGATTTTACTGTGTTTTTAATGAAAGTCTTTTTGGATGAGGGGTACAGTGGTGAAATTAAACTAAATTTACTCAAGTACAGTACTTGAAATGTGAAAAAATGAGACGTACTTTTTAATACTCTGAATAACAAAGGGCAACAAAGCTCAAATGTTATTGGAGCAGCAGTTAGTTTTGTGTTCGGGGTAATTTCTACCCAGAAAGGGAGAGGCATTGAACCAGGATCACCTCCAGTCCATGTCAGTCAGGATCCTCCAAAGGAAAACTGTTGTAACATACATTTAGCAAATAAAAACAAACTGTGTGAGCACATTGCACAAATTCAGTAAATCAAGTTTGACTTAAATTTCCAGTATCATTTTATCTTTTTCTTTTTTTTTCTTCTTTTTTTTTTTTTTTTAATTAGCAGACTTTAGTTTCATCTCTGTCTCTACAGTGATCGGCCTGGGCCTAAAGGGGCTCTAAAAACTTTGCAATCTCCTGCACATCTTTCATAACCATGCAACCCCTTTGAATATTGTCAGTCGATTGAATGGGCATTATCAGTGGTTGTCAGCACCATAGATATCAGGGGCCCTGCTACACCCTAATTTGGAACAGCCAGAAAATGTCCTATTTAATTTATTCATACCAATAACCTGTATTTTAATGTTTGCACACAGTTACACCACATGTTTTGTATAGTCTTTATATCCACAGTGTATTAGTCATCGCATTTTTACCCTTATATTCCTCTTAACTTTTTCTAATTACCTTCATGTTTGAGGCAGACTACACCCTTACCCCGCCCCCCATTTGATGATTGCCTGATTTTAGTCATGTGCATACCCAGAAAGCTCCGACCAATAACTTTCACTTAAACTTTCAGAGCAGAAGTGAAATGCTGTTTTATTATGCAAATAACCTGATGTCCCTGCCTGGATTCGGTTTTCAGTTTGGGAGCAAACATAATCAAACAGGTGTCTTTGTTGTTACATCATGACGTTTGATAAAGTGAAATGTGACTATTGATGCCTCCTGAATATTTCTGGGCTGTCTCTGCAGTGTCTGTGCTCTTCTGCGCCATCAAGCGGCTGTTCTAAAAACAAAACCAACCAAGTTTCGTTTTCGCTTCCAAACTCTGAAGTGAGCCGGGACACACCCAGAAGTGTCCGTTTGTGAAGTTTAATGTTCAGATGACTTCGACAAACATGGAGCTTCTTCCTCTCGTGTGTCTCTGTCTCCTGTCTCTGTCTGGACCAGCGTTGGCTGATGAACACGGTAAGAAAACTAATAGACTATCGCCTAATTAATAACCTGATAATTAGTACAGACCGATGTTAAACATCGCCCACAACACGGGTGATTCATTTATTATTTCAGCATCTTTGTGATTAATAGGCTGCATCAGTGTAACACATGCGCATTATTCTGCATCATTTTTGGAAGTTCGGAGCGTCTCCGTCCTGCACAGAAACTCTTCTTGTCGAAACCTTTTTAATTGTTGCGACACATCACTGACATTTCTGATCAAATATAAACTCGTGTCGCTACCATGTAGGGAATAGTAAATACATGAGAAGTAGACAAAGTTGTTCCTCTTTTTCTGTCCGCCTACCACCTCTCTCGCTTTATGTTCAGATACAGAAAGCAAAAGAAAACTCGCGGATGGACAAAGCATCTTCTGATTATAAGTGTACTCAGACCAAGATTACACCACACGTTTCTCTCTCTCCAGTCTGCCCATATAGCCTGAACAGATGTTAACAGGCTGGACTATTGATTTAGATTTTAAAATGATTAAAAAGAGTCTAACATGTTTTTAAAAATATTTATCTGTTTCTTGTGTGCCATTATATTCTGCAACAGACCTTAAATTCATCATGGATAAGAATAAAACCATAGATTAAACAAAGTGAGTATAGGCCACACCTGCATGCAGCACCATTGCTGCTTGATTAGACTTTCTTCTTCAAAACAGAGAGAGGGTTAAATGTTATTAATTATTATTCCTGAGGCTTCGTCTTTTAGGAGAAACTTAAGAGCTGTGAGTAATAAGGTTTAGAAAAAAAGAAAAATAAAAGATAAAAACTCCAGATAATAAATTATACAATTACCTGGAGAACAAAGTGCTCGACAAGGTCAAAGAACAAGACAAGTTTCTTGTTATGAGTTGATATTTTGTTCTAACAACTGACTTCTTTTGCCTGTCTTAAGTTAATTAAATTAATTGTAAACACTGATTAATACATGTTTCAATCTTCCAGGGCCAGGGGTCATCAAAGTGAAGGAAGGCAGTGATGTTATTTTACCCTGTTCCTTCAGCAGCAAGGAGGACATTATGTCAAAGCTCTTTGACTGGAGGAAAGATGGTGAGAAGGAGATTTTCTTCTATGATGGACGCGTTCATCCCAATATCGGCCGTTCAGGACAAGATGAGCAGTTCAAAGGTCGCGTCTCACATTTTCAAGATGAGCTGAAGTACGGCAACGCCTCCATCATCATCAGAAACACAAAGTTGACTGATAGTGGACACTACACCTGTGATTTTCCAGATCTTCAGCAAATACAAAGATTCCACATTCAGCTTGTTGTTGGTGAGTGTTTTCATTAAACAGTTAAAGATTTATTTACTGATGTGACTGGTTTAAGAGTCCCAGATGGACTTTAGTCGAGTAATCAGAATAAACATCTGGCAGGGCCTCGTCCCCACAGAGCTGCAGCCACATCTGGAGAGATTACCTCTCTATCAGACAGGCTTCATGTTTACAACACTTTGTCACTGATGTTACTCTGCACAAATCAATTTCAGCCATCTGAATTCTGTTGAATAAATAGGGAAACACTTTTCAGATTTTTTGGCGCAGTATTAGGCTACTGGTCTGCCAAGTTGATGCACTCTAACATGCGTTTGTTTTTTGTCTTTAGGTCGTGTCTTAAAAGACAGTTCAGGTGAGTCCTGATCTTGATTCTTTGTGTCATAAAGCTGAAACTACACATCACCTCTTAAAGTGGAGACACGTACCAGCATTTATTACAAACCCCATTTCCAGATTGGGACATTTTCCAAAATACTATAAAAATATTTGTTTTATCATGGTTTGGTCTGTATCTCTGTTTGTTCCTGACCGGAAGACTTTTGTTTGTGCGGCCATGCAGCATCTGAATCTGATCCTGCTCGTGTCCTGCGTTTTGGCCCCTGTACTCAGCCTGAATACTGACACAACTACATTATCCTGGGAGGTGTTTAAAAGTTTTTTGCCCTTCCTTTTTGACACACAAGGGGTCAGAATATATGAAAAAACCTGAATATAATGCAGTCCAGAACAACCCCATCAGTAACCATCATTAAAGCAAATTAATGGCAGAACATTTGTGTTGAATTGCATTAGCAACACATTCTCATACCGAGATGACAAAAGGTCGATTGTCATGTGTCACAATATGACATCGGGCCTACTGTATACATCCATTGGAAAGTCCATCGACTCTAGAGATGGGGACTCGTTTGAGACATAAGTCGCACATACAGTGACTTCAGACTTGACTCGAACTCGAGGTGCGGGACTCGTGAACAACGTTTATTTTTAGGAAACGTCTGATGAGCTTGCTGTTATTCCCTCCCTCTGTTACCTATAACCTGCCTACATGACACATAGCATCTGCTGCGCACGGCCACACCTGAGAGAGGACAACAAACACAGGTGTTGTGACGATTTCTGCATGCCTGCCGAGAATTGCATGCAACGCCAACTCATGCTGAGAAAAGAGGTGGATGCAGATCTTGGCAGGTAGCCTACAACATCTGTCCTGCCGATTTATGCGTCCGCCTCGTAAGGTCCTTTTCAGACACTTTGCTGTGCTCATTTTTGTGGTGATATATTTTATTTAGTTATAATGTTACACTGATTTGAGAGTCTGGGGAGTGTGTTGAATTGCAGTTGTTATTAAGCTGTATTTAATTGCATTGCACATTACACAGTTGTGCTCTGTAAGTGAAAAACAGGTTACAGTTACAGAATCCTTTACAGCTGTGCAGTTTTATAAGCAGCCTGGATTGAACGCAGCAGGTGATACAACATTAGTAATAACCATGAGAGACTTGAGACTTGACTTGGACTCTCTTATTTCTTAAATGCAGCCTTTAGTTTACTTATAATTTTCTCTAACTAGATCTCTTTGACTTTTAATTGAATACCCCTGACACAGCCTGTAGAAATCTATTTACACATGATCCATCAGGGGAGCTACAGTCTTGTTAAGAGAAGCCGAGCTCCCCGTAGTTCGCATCCTGACCACAATCTCGACCATCAGATTACTGCAACAGGAAATAACATTACTCTTTTACTCCTGGATTTGGTTTTCAGGAGCGTGCACACCTTTAGATGTTCTTTGCGTCGGCTGTGATGTTCAGTCTGCTGTTTATGACATGCAGCTACTTTCTGAGAGTTACATTCACTTTTTATCATCTGTTTCAGAGATCCGCACTGCAGTGATTACTGGTGGAGTTCTTGGTAGTTTGGCTGGTGTTTTTGTTGTATGGTATAGCTTTTACACCAAGCGTTGCTGATAAGAGAGAAAATGCTCAGTGAGGTAAGTTTAAATAATATGTATTATCAACATTTTCACCATAAGCAGACAACACATCAAATTCTTTACATGTGTCTAATGTTTAGAGTCTTGACAGTTTTATCTTTTCAGGCATTAAAGTGGGTCATATTATGCTCATATTCAGGTTCACAATTTTATTTAATGGTTGTACCAGAATAGGTTTACGTAGTTTAATTTTCACCATATTTTTCTCAAACTGCACATTTCTGCAAATCCTCATTTCACCACTGTGTGTTGAACGCTCTGTTTTAACTATGGATAGAAACATTTCATTTCTATTTGATCTTTGTTGATCTGAGTTGCACATGCGCAGATCCTAGGTAAGGACTACTAGCCAATCAGAAGAGTAGGGCG